CAAGGCGATCAAACCGGTCAGTCCTAGAGGAGATCAACCCTGACTGCTCTTTAGAAGGCCAGATGCTGAAGATGAAACTCAAATACTTTGGCCACCTAATGAGAAGGGAGGACTCCCTGGAGAAGAGTCTAATGCTGGGAACAACAACAAGGCAAAAGAAGAAGGGGCCGGCAGAGGATGAGGTGGCTAGATGGAGCCAATGAAGCAGTCGGGTGAGCTTAAGTGGACTCCGGGGGATGGTGGAGGACAGGAGGGCCTGGAGGAGTGTTGTCCATGGGGTCGCGATGGGTCGGACACGACTTCGCGACTAACAACAACAAAAAGGCTGGCAGTCCATGTTTCCATGAAAAAGGTTTCCCGCTCCTGCAATACAGGGGTGTTCCCTGCTTTCTCTTCGTAAGAGCCCTGCGAGGTAGGCCATGCCAATGAGCAGCAACAGGCCTAAGGCCTCCCTCAAGGAACAGTGCTGTGCACTCACCGGGTCGAAGACCAACATCCGGCAGAGCAAGTGGACAGCCTCGTGGGTGGCTTCTCCTGAGAGCATGTACAGCACCGACAAGGAAGGCTGGAGAGGGACAGGCAGAGTCAGCTGAGCAGGGGGTTTGGACAGGCGCCCTGCTCTCCCACTCCCCCCTCCCTGCCCCAGGTGTACTCACCGGCTTGTGACTGCCACGCAGTACGTGGGCCCGGGCCCCCTCACAGGCCGAGTGGAGGGCAGCCACAGGAGGCGTCCCCAGCAGATCTGTGATCAGGTCCAGCTGCCGACCCAGAGCAGAGGGCGAGAGAAAGAGGGCAGGAATAGACGGGAAAAAGTTATTTTCTGCCTCTTCCTCTGGCCTCTTCCAGCTCAAGGCCTCTTCTGAGGTCCTGCCTGACAGAGAGGCAGATCTTTTTCCAGTCTTCCTACATGCTCCCAGCTGTTTCTGGACTCCCAGCGGGGATATACATCAGCTTTCCCCAGCCTGGTATTCCCCTGGTATTTCATACTACAACTCCCAGCATTCTTGGCTGGGGAGCTGGAATCAGAAACATCTGGAGAACACCGGGTCAGGAAAGGCAGGTGTACTTTTCCAGCCACTGCTCTCCCCCCACCACACTCCTCATGATGACGGCTGCTCCTTGGTGACATCTGCTTGAGTTACTGGAGAAACCAAATGTCCCTATTTCATCCACAGGAGAACAAGCGCCAAAGGATGGCGGCTCTCTTGGGATATCCTACTCTGGGCCTGGTGGCCTCCGGATTTCAGTGCCATCCATTTACCAGCAGGCGCTGCTTGCAAGAACCCAGATCTCACCAGTGGAAAAACAGCTTCCCACTGGCACCATCTGCTGACCCTACGTGAGAATTATAGACTGTAACAGCAGCAGTGGAAGCCTTTGTCACCCAATGCCAGTAAATAACAGCATCAGGTTGGCTGATGGCCACATTTCCATGCCACCTAATGTCAAGATGGAGTGACCCACATTCCTATAAGCCAGTGACGGTGAACCTTTTAGAGACCGAGTGCCCAAACTGCGACTCAAAACCCATTTATCACAAAGTGTCATCACAGCAATAAACCTGAAAACTGAGGTTTTACTTTAGAAAAAACAACTCACAGCCAGTCCAAGCAAATATGTATATATCTTGGCAGTGCATTGACCGGCCATGCGAAAGCTCGGATGAGACGCAGCTAATGAGTCGCAGCTTGTGACATCATCGCCGGGCACCACTACTCCTTTCCGAGCATGCGCATGGCCCCTATGTGCGCTGTTATCCGATGTGCGGCTACTCGGGCACTGCTGGGGCGACTTGGCTCAAGTGCCAATAGAGAGGGCCCTGCGTGCCCGCTGTGGCACACATGCCGTGGGTCCGCCACCATTGGCCTAACCCTGCCCTGGTGCACTCCCCTAACCCTAATACAGGGCTAAAGTTCCATAGAAAAGGGGGATTTTGAAAAAGCCATCCTTGAGTAGCTTTTTCTGTGCAGCTCATCATTTCTGCTCATTCCAAACACATTCCAACCGTCAAAATCATGCCAGGACACCTCGTTTTTCTTACCCTAACCCTACCCTGGTACACACCGCTAACCCTAATACAGGGCTAAAGTTCCATAGAAAAGAGAGCGATTTTGAAGAAGCCTTCCTTGAGGAGCTTTTTCTGCACAGCTCATCATTTCTGCCCATTCCAAACACATTCCAACCATCAAAAACCTGCCAAGACACCTCGATTTTCTAACCCTAACCCTACCCTGGTGCAGACCCCTATCCCTAATACAGGGCTAAAGTTCCACTGAAAATAATGCGATTTTGAAAAAGCCTTCCTTGAATAGCTTTTTCTGCACTGCTCATCATTTCTGCCCATTCTAAAGACATTCCCACAGTCAAAATCATGCCAGGACACCTCGTTTTTGTAACCCTAACCCTACCCTGGTGCACACCCCTAACACTACTATAGGGGTAAAATTACTTTAAAATAGGGTGATTTTAAAAAAGCTTTCCTTGAGTAGCTTTTTCTGTACTGCTCATCATTCCTCCCCATTCTAAACACATTCCAACCATCAAAATTATACCAGAACACCTTGTTTTTTAACCCTAAGCCAGTGATGGCGAACCTTTTAGAGACCAAGTGCCCCAACTGCAACCCAAAACCCAGTTATTTATTGCAAAGTCCCAACACTGCAATAAAACCTGAAAACTGAGGTTTAGAAAAAACACCTCACAGCCAGTCCAAGCAAAGATATACGTATCCTTGGCTGCACACTGCCCTGCCATGCTAAAGCTCAGACGAGTCACAGTTATTGAGTCGTGGCACAGGACATCATTGCCTGGTGCCGCCACTCCTTTCCAAGCATGTGCATGACCCCTATGTGCGCGGTTATCTGATGCTCGGCTTCTTGGGCGATGCTGGGGCTCCCTGGCTCACGTGCCAACAGAGAGGGCTCTGCAGGCCCGCTGTGGCGCGCATGCCATTGGTTCGCCACCACTGCTATAAGCCAATCTTGTAGTATCGCTTTGGTGCTGCCTGCTGTCCACTTGGAGAAATCAGAACTTCTGTATTTCCAGATAGGTGGCTGGATGCGATTGCCCTTTGCAGCTGATTGACGGGCCCTTTTCATGACACGGATGCAGAAATCTCCAGCCACTGGGAAGTTCCCATCTAACCTGCAAGCTGCTTTTGTGTTTATCTCTGAATAGAGATAGGAAGCCGTCTGAAGGCAATTAAGGTTTACATATCCTACAAAGAACGGAGCTGTTCCAAAATTCTGAGCTACACCTCTTGCAAGGAGACCTTTTTCGCATGGAATAACACTGGCTTATTTGTGCATAGCCATGCAGAGACTTGAAGTCTGCGATGGTATCTGAAAAGTGCTAGAATGATTCAGCATGCCTTACTTGTGAGTAGACATGGAAGCCTTGTCCTGCTTGCTTCTGGCTGACTGAGTTTGACACCAGCTCCCCAGCCCACCCCCAGGAATCCCACTCCTGCTCTGGCACTCAAAACCTCTCCCATTTTGCAATTTTACCCTCAGGCTGCAAAAGGAACCGCATCCCACCTGAGGAAATACAACCAGTGACGATGGCTTTGGCCCCAGTAGAGTGGACACACCAAAACGCATGCACACTTCTCCCAATATTGGTTCTCCTACAACAGACACCTGCTGAATAGGGCTCTGGGCCTGGAAGAGGATACGCCTGCCAAGGAGTTCAGCAAAGATACAGCCCACAGACCAGATGTCGATTGGACGTCCGTAGTGCCTGGAGCCCATCAGGATTTCGGGTGCCCGGTAGTACTGAGTTACCACCTCTTGAGTCATGTGCTGGGACTCATCCGGCTCCTCTACCCGAGCCAAACCAAAGTCACAGATCTGAAGGAAAGATGTGGAAAGCATAAAACACAGGAGGTATCTGGAAGGAGAAAAGTCATGCAGCACTGCCCTAAATCCTCCTGGGGCTTCATTCTGCAGCACACCATCCCCTGCTGGAATGAAAATGGTTGCTTGGCCCCTGGTTTCCTGTTTAAAATGGAAGAATTGTGGATAGAGACAACCAGGAAGTCAGAGTTTTTGACCAAAACGGTGGGGAAAGACTCTCCAGCATGTTTTAGCTTAAAGCTCTGAATGACAGTAACTAAGGCTCATGAGAGGTATTTTAGCTTTTTAGGATGGAGTGGGAAGTGGAATGAATGTCAGGAAACCCCCAAGTCATGGGAGGTTAGGGGAAAGGAGGTGAGGCAGGGGAGAAGAGGGGGATGGAATGGAATCCAGGCCAGGGGCCCCTTACGCCTCAGAGCTCTGACACTGGAGGTTTGGGGGCCACAATCTGACAGATTCCACCCAAGATCATCCTGCTTGTTTATTTTATTTATTTACCTACCATTTATTTAACTTCAATACCTCCCCGTGCCCAAAGCTCTCTGGCCTGTTTACAATACTTCCTTAAATGAGACCATGATATAATAAAACAACCTGTATTTTTTCCCTAGAACAGAACTTTAAAATCTGCCTTGTTGCTGCTCCCCAAGCCTCATGTGGAAGAAGGCCTTAGTTGATGAGCACAGAGTCAGCACAGCTGGTAAGGGTGCTCAGTCTGGTGTTACGATCTCAATGCTTATAGATGAATCAGGTTCGGACACATGCAGGTGGCCAAATGCAAGTGGGCCAGAACTGATGTGATGCATTCAGATCTTCTAGCTTGGTTATGAGTCCGACTGCCACACTCGGACAAGCTGCAGCTCCTGAAAGGCCTTCAAGGGCAGCCTCCGTGCTGTGCATCGCAGGAACCTAATTTGCACATCTCCAGAGCACAGATTATTCAAACCAGACTGTCCCTGTCCAGAGAAAGATGTAGCTGGGCCAAAAGCGCCCAGGAAGTACTCCATGCCACTGAGGCGACCTGAGTACCAAGCAACAAAAACTAGATGACCCGCAAGCTACACGCCGGCTGCGTCAAGGAGAGCATCGCCCCATCCAGGGCGGGCTGGACACTCCCCATCTGGCCAGAAGAGGAACACACTATTAGCCTCCCAGCCGTATCTGGACTGAACTTCGGTTTCACAGCCCTGCTCCAGTCATGCTGCAGAATCCACGGAGCTGAGCCGTGTTCCCCAAGCGTCGCCACCCGGAGCCAGCCGTCATGCAGGGACGGAAACAATGCAATGCGATAGCCCCCACTCCCACAGCCACTCCAGGAGAGTATCGGGGTCGACTGTATCAAAACCCACCCAATCCGAATCATCAGCCTCATCCAAGAGTGTCTGGAGCCACCCCCTGCTTAAATATTTGCCGGCATTTTTAGAGGAGATTCATTTGAACAGCTTGTCCTGCAGCGATGTTTATATTGGGCAAAGCACATTCAGACCTTTACATCCACTGTCCTCATGACAACCATCTTACGATGCAAGTCTATTATTATTTCCCATTTCTATTTCTCGTAATTATTTCTATTACTATTTCCATTGTGGGGAGACAATGGAGACCAAATCAGCAACTCCTCAGAGGCAACCAATGAATGCTACTGCAGACATCGAACTCAAGCTAAAGTCTTGCAAAGCCTTTTAGAGATTATCAACCACATGAAGTAGAAAAACTTTAAAACAATGCAAGGCACAATTCTACATATAGACAGAAAAAAGTCCTACAACTGGAAGACTATTTTTTGTCTAAAATGCAGGTGTCCTGCCCTGAGTCACTCTACCTGGGTGACCCAACATTTTTGATAAAAGAGAAAATCATTCCACATCCTATAGCATCCTTCCCCAAACTGGTATCTTCCAAATGCGTTGGCCAACAACTTCCATCATCCCCAGCCAGCATGGCCAACTGTGGTGACGGAGGCAACTGTTCCCCCTCCTGGCTATGAAATTATGGATTACCTTCAGAACACAATTGCTGTTGACCAGCAAGTTCCCAGGTTTGATGTCCCGGTGAAGGACACCAGCAGAGTGCAAATACTTCAGCCCTGGGGAAGAGAGGTGGAGAGGAGGAGGAGAAAAATTAAGGGTGGCTCAACATTTGATTGAAGGAAATGGATGGAGCAAAGAACTAAGCCATGCTGTGTAACTGAGTGGGGGCCACCAATTAATCGGCAGGCCTTTTTACAAAGAAATTATTTCAGCACAGGGACAGATGGCAAAAGCTTTCTCAAAAAAGCCATTGTCCTCTACTTTCTCTCTTGCTCCCTCAGAGAAGTCAATTTAACAGATAGAGTCAAAAATTAACTAAAATTCTTTTATCAGGTTACAGCTCTGCAAAGAACATGTTGGAAGGGTGGGAAACCAAGGAAAATGAGTGAGGTGCAATAGAACAAAGTCAAAAAACAGACAGGAACAAAAGGGCACAGCAATGAGGCAGAGAAAAACAGGAAACAAGTTGAAAGGGAGAATCATGGAGAGGAGAGGAGAGGAGAGGAGAGGAGAGGAGAGGAGAGGCAAGCCAGAAACATTCCAAGGATGGGAAATTCAGAGATGAGCTGAACAGCATCAAATAAGAGTCAGAGGAACTCTAGAAGTCCATCTAGTCCATCCTCCTGCTCAGCGCAGGAAATGCAGAACCAGAACATGAGAAGCCTTCAGCCCACGTAGGCAATGGCTTCTGCCAGTTGCTCTCGGTACCAACCACTTTCACCTAATGTTCAACCAAAATCTACCCCTCCTCTGACTCAAGCACTAACTTCTTTAAGCAGCAGACAGCAAGTCTTTGCCTGACTCTATGTGACAGTGCCTCAGGTATTTGAGAGTCCTGCCATGTCCCGCCTCAGCCTTCTCTTTTCCAGGATCAATATACCCAGTGCCTCGACCTTTCCTCACAGGATTTCTCTTCCACTTGCCTATCATTTCCACTGCCCTCCTCTGAGCCTCTTCTCATTTGTCTGCATCCACACTGGACACAGGACTGAATACAAGGATGGGCAAGGGCAGAACATTATGTTCCATGATTCTGAAACGATCTGTCTTTTAATGCAACCTGAAACTGGTTAGCATAGCCTTCCCTAGCTTGGTGCCTTGCAAATGTGTTGGAATGCACTCCCATCATCCCCAAAATGGCCATGCTGGCTAGCAGTGATGGAAGTTACAGTCCAACTCATATGCAGAACACCAGACTGGAGAAGGCAGCAAACTCAAGTTAACTTTGCAGTCCAAATTCCAACATCCTTTTCATATATTCTGCTGTCAAACCAGGTTTTCCCCATCCTATAACTGTGCATTTGATTCCCCCTCCCACTCCAAATGCAGACCAACTTTTCTCTAAGGATAAGTCACAGCATCTCCATATTAAACTTACCCCTGAGGATCTGATATAGAAAGACCTTGATGTGATCAGCACTGAGTGGTTGTGGAGAGACGATGACTTTGTGAAGGTCACTTTGCATCAACTCAGTGATGACATAGCTGATGGTCATTGTCAAGGACAGTGCACAAAGACGGCCCAGAAAATGCAGGTATCCGAGAGCCCAGCCCGTCCCAGCATGTATCAGCAAGAGGACACACGAGCTAACAGTTGAACCAACTGGTTCCAACAAAATTAGGAGACAGAAACACAGAACACACGTGCACATGGAAGTAAAAGGAGCAGAACAGGAGTACAAGGGTGGACCATGAAATAGATCAAACTGAGATAGAAGACCAGAAAAGAACTTGAAAAATGAAATAATTCTGTTGAAACAGTTGGGACCATACAAGAGGCCAATATGGTTGGTAAGAAGAGACCAAGAACGGAAAGCGAGGAAGAAAGGAGGGAGGAGAAAAAAGAATTAAGTTCCTACTGTAGACAACAAATAAGCTGTGCTAACAGCAGAAGAATGCTGGGAACAATAGATGACAATAAATAGATGGCAAAAGAAGAAGGGGATGGCAGAGAACGAGGTGGCTGGATGGAGTCACTGAAGCAATCGGCGTGAGCTTAAGTGGACTCCGGGGGATGGTGGAGGACAGGAAGGCCTGGAGGAATGTTGTCCATGGGGTCGCGATGGGTCGGACACGACTTCGTGACTAACAACAGCAGCAGCAGCAGCAGCAGCAGCAGCAGCAGCAGCAGAAGGAAGAAGAGCCTCATGAAAGACTCCTGAACAATCTTAGCAGTTATGAAATAAAATGGAGGTCCTCTAACAAATCAGTACGTTAAAGAATAGAAAGGAACCTTACCAGCATATACTGAGGGCCAGTGTGGTGTTGTGGTTTAGAGCACAGGACTCAGGTGATCTGGGTTCTAGTCCCTGCTTAGCCAAAGAGCCAGTTGGGTGACTTTGGGCCACAGATTCTCACCCCAACCTACCACACAGGATGGCTCTTAGGTTGAGAGCAAGAGGATGAGAATGATGTAAGCTGCTCTGAGTTCTTTAAAAAAGCAAAAGGCAGGGTATAAATTTAATAAATACATAATTTCTCCCAGTTAAGGGATTGAAAGTGGGATCCCAGAGGTTCTGTATTAGGACCAGTGTTTTTCAACCTATTCATAAGTGATCTAGAATAAGGAGTGAACTGTGAAGTGGCCAAGTTTGCTGATGATACAAACTATTTTCTGTGGTTAAACCCAAAAGGTATTGGGAGGATCTCCAAAAGGATTTTCCAAAGCTGGGAGAATGGGCACCAAAATGGCAAATGCAGTTCAGCGTAAGCCAGCACACAGTAATGCACACTGGAGCAAAAAGTCCTTAACTTCAGGTATAAGCTGATGGGATCAGACCTAGCAAAGATTGACAGAAAAAGGAATCTTGGTGTTGAGGTCGATGAAAATGTTAACCCACTGCACAGCTGCAGTTGCAGAAAAAAGCAAAATTCCACATTAGGCATAATTAGGAAAGGACTTGAAAATAAAATTGCTAAGATCATACTCCCCATTTATTTATTTATTTATTTATTTATTTATTTATTTATTTATTTATTTATTATTTATAACATTAGGAAAGGACTTGAAAATAAAATTGCTAAGATCATACTCCCCATTTATTTATTTATTTATAAATAAATAAATAACATTTCTATGCTGCCCCCATCTCAACAAAGCCTCAGGGCGGCTCACAAAGGATACATAAATACATAAAAATATAACAATTAAAAAAAATGTTTAAAAACCCCCGGTGCATTCTCAGCTAAAAATTTAAAATCCTATTAATTCAAATAATTTAACAATTAAAATAAGTTTTAAACAAAAAGGTCTTAGCCTGACACCGAAAAACAAATGGTGTGACCACATTTATAATGCTGTGCATAGTTCTGATTACTGCACCTGAAAAAAGGACATTATAGAGTTGGGAAATGTCCAATGGGGAAGCCAAATGATCAAAGGTTTGAAGCAACTCCTCTATGTACAGTTGTTTAGCTTAGAAAAAAGGCATATGGTACAGGTGCTCAAAATTATGCATGGTGTGGAAAAAATGGAGAATTTTTTTCCCTGCTGTAATACTAGAACCCAGGGTCATCCCTTGAATCTGATTGGTGGGAGATTCAGGGCAGAGCAAAGGAAGTACTTCTTCATTCCATGCATAGTTAAACTAGGAATTCGCTGCTGCCGCAAAATGCAGAGAGGGGTCACCAAAGGGAGTGGACAAATTCATGAAAGATAAGGCTATTGACAGTCCTGATGGCTGCGTATCCGTATCAGAGGCCAAGGACACCAGCTGCTGGGGAACTAAGACAGGCAGGGGCTGTTGTGCCCATATCCTCCTTGGGGGATTCTTTGAGTGAATGTGACCAGAATACTGGACTAGGTGAATACTTGGCCTGATCCAGCAGCGCTCTTCTCGCATTCTTATGATAAGAGGCACAAAATTAAAGAAATGATAGAAAATATGAGGAGAACATGCGAGAGATGATGCAGAGGAAGGAAGGAACTGAAATGGAGCCAAGCAGAACACCCAAGAAGCTGTGAAAGAATTGTGTGAGAAGACAGAAAAAACCCCAAAGCTTGACAGAAACTGTAAATGAAGGAACTAAACACAGATGGGAAACACAAATAAACAAACAAACAAACCAAGTATTATTATTATTACATTACATTTCTATACCGCCCGTATCCAAAGCTCTCTGGAGAGTTCACAACATTTAAGCTCCCCACTCAGATTTCAACCAGGCCGGACCCTGCTTAGCTTCCAAGATCATGCAGGATCAGGCACTTCTGGCTATCTGGAAGACTGTATGACTTCTGCAGGACTGTAGTGAAAAATATCCTGACAGGCAACAGCAGAAATTTAAACAAGTGGTAAGAAAAAAATATAAATGAGTGAAAAACATTGAACAGAGAAAGTAACAAAGTCTAGACCATGATAAATGATAAGCAAGGGAGTAACAACAAGAAGAAAATGTCAGCAACAGGCCTCACTGGCTTGTGTAAGATCAAGGATACATCTCCTCAAAACAGTCGATTTGTGGTGGCTGGAGAATGTCCAGTGCAGACAGGACCTGGGGGCGGGGGAGAAATAGCATTGGCAAGGAAAAGCGTTTTCCCAGGTCCAGTCGCAGATAAGATAGGTGGGATAAGATAACTACCTATTTGTGCTGTGACGTGGTCAGCATAGTGCTAACACTTGGCTTTTCCAAAGTAAGCACCATTGAGTTCAAAGGGATGTGTTCCTAGATGCACATCTGTGATGCTGCAGCCTAAACCGGTTTAGCAGCTATGGGTCCCCAACGTCTGCCCAGGCTGGCCCATGCCATTTTGGCACCGGAGGAAACAAATCTTGAAGCACCTCTCCCCTGAGCAGTAATAAATAATAATACAATTAAAGGTGCAATCCAGTGCAAGTTTGGGCAGAAAAAAGGCTGGCTACTGGGAGTTGTAGGCCTTTTTTCTGTCTAAACTTACATAGAATTGAGCCCCAAAGATCTAAAATTTGCTGCCCATTAATGACACAGAAATCAACTGAAAGAGGTGGAAGCTTCACTCTAAATGGGGCCGAGCCAACACTCCTATATAAATACTGACAACCACATGAGGACACCCTCTTCACAACGGAGCCAAGGAAGGATTAAATAAAGCAAAACCTCAATGGCCCACCCTGGACCTTAGTCCCACATCTACACCCCACTTCCGGGGATTGCCTAGCCTAGGCCTGCACCGGAGCCACCGCAAACAGGGAAAGGCACCAGGAAAGCCAGACACCGAGATCAGAGGACACTATGTGGACGGGGACCCACCCCAGAACCAAGAAACAGTCTTGCATGTCATATATACTCACTCACATTGTCGTGCTTGAAGTAACAGAGCATTCTCAACTCTCTGAAGACCCGTTTGCAAGAGACCAAGTTCTGGAAAACATTGGGCATCTTTTTGAGTGCAACACGTGAGCCGTCCCGGGGATCTGTCACTGACCTGCAGACGGAAATTTGGCATCCCGTTCAGCTTAGAAAACACTTGCCCTTCCCAGGACGTTGCTCCCTCAGTCACCTCCCTCCTTGCCCCCACCTCCATCTTCTTGCAAATAAAATTCTTCCCCACTCACCATACTACACCAAATGCACCATAACCAATAGGCCGGTCCGGTTCTGGTTCCACCATCACTGCATTGTTGGGTGCTGTCTGCTGTTGCTGGGGGGAAACTATCTGTACTCCATTATTGCAATAATATTTCTGGCCCCCGCCTAGCCCAGCTGCTAAAGGGGGCTGTATTAACCCAGTAAGTGCACCAAAAACATTGCTACAAAGCTGAGCTTGGAGGGGGTGATTGGGGTCCTGAAAAGCCATTGGACAGGATGGAGAGTATGATTTGGGGAGAGTTGATTGTTTGGAGCAAAGACAGGTTGTTTTGGGAATCCGATGTGTGATGGGCTTCTGGGATAAAATTGGGAGTCCAAGGTGTTCTTTAGAAAACTAGGAGGTCTGAGCTGTGGGAATCTTTGTGAGTGACTAGTGAAGAAGCAATGCCTGTGAAATTGGAGACTCAGAGGGTTTAGGGGTGTCCAAGAATCTACTGGGGGATGCTCTTTATAGTGGTATGCACTCAGCCCAAAGGGTTCTGTAAGCTTCCAGTGTTTTAGAAAGCAAGGATGTGTTCTGGGATACCTTGAATGTGGAAGGCTCTACACAGTGGCTGGAAATTGCAGGAAACTCAGACTCTGGGGTGTTATACAGACAATTTGAAAGCTCTCCTGTATCTACCTTGGGTACACTCTGTTGAAAATTGGGGTGATTTAGTAGCTGGAAACCATCGCTATCTAATTTACTTCCCTCTAAGTTGAAGGTGGAACACTGAGCAATACGTATAGGGAACTTGGATGTTTTCTTTAGGATGGTCTTCAAAGTTTAGAACACTTGAATCAAACAAAAAGGGTTAACTGGTCAAAGATCAAAATATATTTGGGGATGTAAAGGTTTGCAGAGAGAGTAAAAGCACTGGATAGAGTCACTCTGTTAATATGAGAAACTGGAAGAATTACTGGCTTTTAAATCAAGTATCTTATGGCATTAGGACTGCTTAGAAGTATCCAATACCAAGTAGAAAAGCACATAACTTTTATCTCAACATATAATTGAGATTTAGGGAAGCAACTGTTGTTGTTGTTCTATTATTATAATTTCTTCACAAGCTAATGCAAATTCTGGGCTGTTCAGAAATGTTGAGAGCCCAGTCTTCCCCCTGTTAGATTTGGGGGGAATCCCGTAGACATTAAGGGTGATTTTGAGGAATAACTTAGGGCAAGTTGAAATTTAAGTGAGGTATTTCCAGGAACTGGGGAAGGAGGAGTCAATTTTGAAGGTGCGCTTCAAGATATTAGGAGAGGGGTCTTTCTAACAAGGTAGGAACATTCAGGGGTGCAATACATAAATTTTAGGGGCCACCAAAATGAGCAGAAGTCTCAAAAACCATTAAGATCTTAAATGGTGTCTGCAGAGATGAGAAAAGTTAAAAAAATACTGTGGGGTCCCTTTACTGTTACAAAAGGAGCTATGAAAGAAACCTGCACAGTTGAGAAAGGGGTGCCTCAGGTGATGGGGGGGATCACTTTTGGGGAAACTTTCTCAAGAATGCAAGGAAGGGGGCCCAGTCTCCTTTTGTAATAGTACAGTGAAGAGGGAGGGGGCAGCTATCTTTCAGGAATCAGACGTCCTTTCAGGATTTGGGGTGTTTTGAAGCAATCTAGAGGTGTCTGAGAAATCCCCCTAAAGTGTGGCTATTAACTGGAGTTCTGGAAGGAGGTATTGATCTCTGCAGAGCAAACGATTAGGATGCAAGCCTTTTTTTTCTTTTCTGGGCTTGGGGTGGGGGAATGGCTTTTTTCAAAGGGAAAAGCGGGTAGGAAGATATTCTTCGAAAAACAGGAAGGTAAATCTGGGGGCGCCTAGAGATGATGTGAGTATTTTCCGGAGGGGGAGGAGGGGACACCCAAGTCTTATCTGCACCAGTCCTCGATCCACGTGAAAGGTGACCCTACCGAGGCGGAAGCCCCTCTCCGGCGGCGGGGGGCAAGGTGGGGGCGCCCATCGCGCGGAAGGGGGTCCTTCCTTCTCCCCCCCACCCGCCCCCCGGGTGGGCTTCGCCGCGTCTCAGCAAGGCATGGGGAGGTGGGGGGGGGGGCTGCGGCCAGAGGCGAGCGGGGCTCCCCCCGGGAAAGGAGAAAAGACCGAGACCCCCCCCGCACCCCACCGTCCGCGGCAGAAGGGCAAACCCGAGCGGGGGCTGCTGGCGGCGGGAGCGGCGTCTGGGCGGGCGCCTGGCCGGGGTCTTTGTTAGCGGCGCTGCGGGTCCATCTTTCCGGGCAGGAGGGAGGAAGGCAGGCAGGCAGGCAGGAAGGCGACGGCGGGCAGGCAGGAAAAGGCAGGCAGCGGCGGGCGAGAAGCGCCGGCGGACCCCATCTACCGGCTGCGGGGAGAGAGGCAGGCAGGAGGGAGGGAGGGAGGGACGGACGGACGGACGGAGGAAAGGGAGAGATGGAGAGAAGAAAGCAAAGGGGTTGTGAAAAGAGACTCGTTCTAGTGCCAAGCCCGGGTGGACTTGCAGGCGGCAAGAAAGAGCAGAGAAATGAAGCGCTGCTCGTTCGTTCCAGGCCCCGCGCGACGCTTCCTCCAAGTTGACCGACCCAGCCCGGCAAGGTTCGCCCTGGCCCGCGTGTGTCTGCACAACAGCCCTGTGAGGTTGCGCCAGGCCAGCGGTGGTGATTGGCCCACGTCGGGGCTTCATAATGGCCATTTCAGGAAAGGAAGAAGAAGTTGGGGGTAAAGGAGGGAAACCAAAGTAACTGCTGAGAAGAGAGACCACTGGGGGGAAAGAAAGAGAAAGCTGGACATTGGCACGGGGAAAGAAAGTGTTAGAAATAGATAGAAAGGAGAAGGGGGAAAGGATTTTATATACAGGTTGTGAACCTATTTTGTATGGTTCGTTATATTCGTTGTAGATTTTTGTATTTTACTTAGGCGCAAGTAATTCACTGTGCAGTCCTATGCCAGTTTAGATGTGGGGAAAGGCACACAGTTCCTACAAACGTGGCATTCTGGGAGTTGTAGGCCTATTTTCCTGTCTAAACCGACGTAGGATTGTGCCCTTGAAAACTAATTTAGCAGTGAGAGTTGACACATTTAATAAATGAGTGAAAAAATCAGAAGAAAAGGATGGATGGATGGAGAGAGGGAGAGAAATTCTGGAAGGAGGGATGAAGAAAAGGGGAAACAGAAGGGAAAGAACAGTTGGAAAAATAGTGAAGGTGAAGGAAAAGAAAAATGGAAATAAAAGGGAAACAGGAAAAAATGAAAGGGGAGATTGGAATAGTAAGAAATGGAGCCATAAAAGAGGAAAAAAGATGGGGGGAGCTTTAGATGAAAAAGGGAATCTGAAGATGAATGAATAAGACTTCTAGGATGGCCTTCTTCAACCTGGTGCTCTCTAGGTATGTTGGATAGCAGTTCCCAGCATTCCCCATGCTGGCTGTGGAAGTTGGGTGTTGTAGTCCAATACATCTACACAAGCTAAATCCTGCTGGATCAAACCAAGTATCCATCAAGTCCAGCATTTTGTTCACACAGTGGCCTTCCAGGAACCCACAAGCGGAACACAGTGTAGCAGGACCCTCCTGCCCATGTTCCACAGCAGCTGGTGCACCTTGGCATACTTCCTATAGAGGGCCCCTAGTTGGGGAAAGCTGCTCTACTTCATGGCACCCCTGAAAAGGGATGATGGGCATGATCGCAAAATTATTCATCTTAAAGCAAAATCCATTTGGACTTGCAGGCAAAACCTTATGAGCCCGGCTAGGCAGGAATGTGCTCTCCATCCACCTGTCAGTTTCTGCTGGACGTTTCCTGGTCCTGAACTTTGTACACTTATCCGTGAGTGAGAGAAACATTATGGTGAAATGGGTTCATCATGAAAAGGATGTAGGGGAAACGGTTCTCTTGGTTATCTCTGAAACTGGGTGTGTTGGAGGCCAGAGGCTAGCAGACTGCGGAGGGCATAGGGTCCTAAATTTTGTTTCGATTTTCTTTTCCTAAGACTGCCTGAAACGGAGTGCATCCACCAGATGTTTTACTCAAACATCAGAAAAGCATGATGTCTGCGTGCAGCCAACCCGCGCTTGCATCTGAATATAACGTAAGTACATGTGACAGGAAATCATGGCTAGCTGCATGCTTTTCTTTGTTCTATTTATACCCCTCTTTTATTTCCTGTGAAAACTACTATGTGCGCACATACTGTTAAAGGTGTATGTGTTTCCCTGTAAACTATGAAAGCAGGCCTTTAAGGGGGTTTCCATATGGACCTTTCCAAACCTTGAGATTTTTTTCTCTGGGTCCCTACCCTTACAGCCCTCACCTACCAAGTTACAGCAGGTGGCTATGAGAGAATGAGCTTTTACAGTAGTGGCCCCTTGAGTGTGGAAAGCCTTCCTGGAAAACCCTTTTATGATTGATTGATTGATTTCATGTTTATACCACCCAATAGCCAAAGTTTCTCTGGGCAGTTAGCACATTTAAAAGCTAAAAACATATAACAAGAAAACAAAGACCACATCAGTACAAGTATTAGGACAATAAAACAATAAAACCACAGCAATTGCAGTTGGTGCAGAGGTACAGTAGCATCATACGAAAAGCCGGACTAGATAATCACAAGCTGGAATTAAATTGCCAGGAGAAATATCAACAACCTCAGATATGCAGATGATACCACTTAACAGCAGAAAGTAAAGAGAAACTAAAGAGCCTCTTGATGAGGGTGAAAGAGGAGAGTGCAAAAGTTGGCTTGAAACTCAACATTAAGAAAACTAAGATCATGACATTCAGTCCTATCACTCCCTGGCAAATAGAAGGGGAAGAAATGGAAGTAGTGACAGATTTTATTTCCTTGGGCTCCAGGATCACCACAGATACTGACTGCGGCCAAGAAATTAAACAACACTTGCTCCTTGGGAGGAAAGCTATAGTAAATCTAGACAGCATACTAAAAAGCAGAGACATCACCCTGCCGACAAAAGTCCATATAGTCAAGGCTCTGGTTTTCCCAGTTGCAATGTGTGGCTGTGAAAGATGGACCATAAGGAAGGCTGAGCACCGAAGAATTGAGGCCTTTGAATGGTGGTGCTGGAGGAGACTCCTGAGAGTCTCTTGGTCTGAAAAGAAATCAAATCAGTCAGTCCTAAAGTAAATCAACCCTGGCTGCTCTTTAGAAGGAGAAATACTGAAGCTGAAGTTCAAATACTTTGGCTACCTAATGAGAAGGAGGGACTCATTGGAAAAGACCCTGGTGATGAAAATGATTTAAGGCAAAAGGAGAAGGGGATGGCAGAGGATGAGGTGGCTGGATGGGGAGGTGGGTATGGGGTTGGGGAGGTGGGTAAGGGGTCGGGTGGACTCCAGGAGATGGTGGAAGACAGGAGAACCTGGAGGAATGTTGTCCATGGGGTCGCGGAGAGTCAGGCACGACTTTGCAACTGAACAGCAGCAGCAGCAGCAGCAACTCATTGCAATAGTTAAAACAGGAGGTTACCAGAGCATGGATTAGTGTAACTAGGCTTTTCTGTGCAGATAGACTCACAGTTGATATCTCAGCTTAAGCTGATAAAAGGTTGTCCATGCCACTGAGCCTACTTGTGACTCAAGATACAGTTCTGGATCCAGAAGCACCCTCAAACTACAAAGCTGAGGGAGTGCAACCCTGTGCAGAAGCGGTTGGATAGACAATCCATCCACCAACAGCACCTCCATCTTGTCTGGATTGAGTCTCAGTTTGTTGGCCCTTGTCCAGTTCATTACCATGCCCAGACACAGATTCAGAGTGGCCACTGCCTCACTTGAGTTTGATGAAAAAGAAAGGTAGAGCTGAGTGTCATCTGCATATTGATGGCCCCTCATCTCATACCTCCAGGTAACCTCCTCCAGCGTTTTCCTGTAAATGTTGAATAGGGGATAAAATAGAGCCCTGTGGTATCCCATGGCATAACTGCCTTGGCGCAGAGCAATAACCCCCCAGCAGCACCTTCTGGGATCAGCTGCTCAAGTAGGAGTGGAACCACTGATAGGCCGTTCTTCCCACTCCTAACCCAGCCAGTCTATCCAGAAGGACACCATGGCTGATGGTATCAAAAGCCACCGAGAAGTCCAGGAGAAGCAACAGGGTTGCAGTCCTCCTGTCTTTCTCCCAGGAATGGTCATCCCACAGAGCAGCCAAGGCTGTTTCCTTTCCAAAAGCAAGCTTGAAGCCTGGTTGAAATGGGTCTGGATGGTCCATTTCATCTCAGAGTGCTTGGAGCTGTTCGGCCACCACCCACTCGAGTACCAGGAAGGGAATGCTGGCCACAGGCCTATCATTGTTAACATCTTCTGGGTTCAAGGTTGGGCTTTTTCAGGAGTGGCTTAATTACACCCTCTTTTGGCTTAATTACACCAGCAAAACTGAACCAGACAGTGCTCTGGATGCCTCTGTTTTTGGAACCGCATTAATTGCAGTGTCCAATTCATGATGAATCTAAGCGACTTTCTCTCCAAAGTTCTGTGCAAACTACTGAGGGTTCCAGTTTCTTTCTCTGACCCAGATTCTAGTAGGCCACAAACCTCTCGGAAAATTTCTGCTGGGAGACACTGAGAAGACACAATGCCTCTTTGCCACCCTCACTGCCACGGAGTGGGCTTGATAGGAAGTGGGCTTGTTCACCAAAAGAGGACTTCTGACTTCTCTCCAAAACCCTCAGTTAGAATGCTTAACCATTCCAGAGGAAATTAACCATCTGTAATTTAAAGTAGCCTCTTCGCTTATTTGTTAGCAAAATTATTGAACACTTTCAGTGTCATTAACATCTGGCACTCGGGCGTTTGAAATGATGTTGAAGTTTCATCTCATTGTAGCTTTGTTGATTGGGTTCCTTTGCCGTTGGTTTCGATAGATTTCGTGCCACAAAGTTTCTTTTCCTCAGCTCTCCAGTGTGAGGTGACTCACGTTATTTGTTTCACTGTGATTTTAATTTTGTTTTAATCTCTGAACATTGCCCAGAGAATTTTGGTTCTAGGATGGCCTATACAGTCTATCAGCTAATGTCGGGTATCACCAATATACCTGTGGGCACTGCGCAGGGCACCCTCCAGGCTCTCTGTCCTTCCTGATTTTTATCTTACTTCTTACACTTTGGTGTTCACCAAGCTGCAAAAGGAACTGTAGCCTCCCATGCCTTCTTTATTTATTTTCAACAGTGCCCAGGACCTTAAGGGAACCCCTTAGCCAATGCACACCTCTTCTTCCCATCCTGTCCCAGCCAGACGAATGGCCTTGAACAATCCGTAGATTCTCCTTCATTAACAGACATGAAAAGAGGACTTTCTTTGTCTAAGGCAGATTGGAGTTTACCGGTAGATCACTGCGTGTTTTGCAGTTTCTGAGTTCTGGCTAACAACTTTCTAACAATAGCAACCAAGGGTGTGATCCTGTGACAAGTTTAGACAGAAAAAAGACCCACAATTCCCCCGCATTCCCAGTGCAGCCATACATAGCATTGCACCCTAAAATACATTTTTCTCACAAATTAAGTTGCTGAAGAACTGCAAGGAGAAGGCCATGGGAGGCAGAGTTTTGTGTGAAATAGCTTGGTCTGGTGCTGAGTGCAAGTGCTCAGGGTGCCTTGTTTTTTTGCTCTTGTTGTCAGTCTGCCTGCCTGAGCTTTGATTTGGCACCTGCCTCTCTTCCTGCCTTTTTTTCTTATTATCCTGCTCTTTTGCCAAAAATGAGTTGTTGACAAAGGCTAACAGAAATGGCACAAAAGGAAAAGGAATTGGGAGTGAGGAAGGGAAGAACTGACACTCAGACAACAGTTACTGGTTTCACGTTTCTTATATACAGTTCTCCCCTCCGCACTGCCTGTGTGTGTGTGGCAGAGAAGAGTGAAACACCCTGCTTGCTGCTGTGGTTTCTCAGACAGCTGCATGGAGTTCACTGGTCTTGCTCTTTCTGTGATGTTTCTCCTGCCCTGGGCTCCCTGGCTGGTGGATGAGGCCTGTGCCTGCAGTCCCAGAGGCCTAGAGTTGAAGATTTCTAGCAAAAAGCAAGGGCAGTCGCTCCTGACCCCGCTCGAAGGGATATCTCCTCAGCACCCTTTGAACTTTACCTAAGCATTCCACCCATATAGCTCTTGAATGCCATATGGCTGGGTTGGGTCAGACCACGTATGGGATTGCCCCAATCTTGGCCGAGGTGTGCCTTCACTGGGTGTGAGGCCTCTGCCATCTCCAGATGTCTCTGGTAATCTTCATCTTGGGGTGGAACCCAGAGCTGCTGATAACCCTTGTGCCTGGCACTCCACGTCCACAGCCCTTCTCCCTCATGGGCTTTTGAGGTCAGGCTGATCTCAAATCCAGCAGCAAAGAGGGAGGGAGACTGCCCTGGAGCATCGTGGCTGAGCATGGATGTGAACTGAAACAGAAAAAATATACAGGACAAATTGAAAATGTCATGGCTCAGGCACCCCCACTGGCAGAAGAGGAAAGAAAATGCAGATTGTTCAATGGCAGAATTATTATTATTATTATTATTATTTGATGATGATGATAATAATAATTATTATTAACATTTCTGTATTGCCTGTAACCAGAGCTCTCTGGGCGGTTCACAACAGGGTATAAAAACAATAAAATACAATACATAGAATGTCTTTTAAACATTTAAAAATAAATCAAATAGCATAAGAATATATTAAAATGCATTAAATGAAATGAAAAAGAGCTGGCCAAGAAGGAGGAAAAAAGGAATTCGGATAAACCCATCAGGTCCAGGGCAATCTTTAAAGGTCTCCACAAAGAGGGTGACCAGTGGACCTGCTCAGTCCATTGCCTGGGGAGGGGTGACGTCATGGCTCTTGGTTTCCTTTCTCGTGGTTCTTGAACCCTAAATGAGACTTGGATGGGGCCAGTGATGTAGTGGAATGGGCTCTCACAGGAATACAGTGCCAGCACTGTGTGTGTCAGCAGGGACACCGACGTCTGCCAATCCCTTCAGAATTTCCTGTCGCCTCCACATTTCTCTCCAACAGTTGGACTGGCACAATATTTTGTCAAGTGCCTACACATCACATGTCCTGCTATGGAACAGCCCTTCAAATAAAGGCCACCTTTAAACAGAGAACTGTCTTCTGTAAAGTAGGGCACATGGCCACAGTAATTCCAGGATTCCTCCAAAACAAGCCAACCTCCAGCTGTTATGGGTCAATAAAGGCAAGGTGCGTTTGTTTGGATGGACTCCCAGGAAAGTGACAATTAAGAGTTTTATAACAGATTAATGATGTTTGCCCAGCAGGCTGGTTCCCAAGATAAAATGATGACACACTATATCTCATGGACAATATAAAATACAGCTTTTCCCTTTGGCTGGCCTGCAGAACACGAACACACGTTGCTCACTCCATCCACCCCAGGACTGCATAAGGTACCATGTAAGTGTGGGACAGGGATGGGAGCTTTCACACAAAGCTAACAAAAATTAATAAATGTCTTTTCTTGCCCTTCCTCTCAAAGTTGGGATGTAGGCTGTCCATCTCTCTTTTACGGGACTTGGGAGCTCTGAATTTTTAGATGTACCCTAAGGCAGTTTTTAGAGGTACGCCATGAATCCCCCAGCAGCATAGCTACGACTTGTAGTCCTACACTTCTGGATCACACCAGGTTGAGAGAAACTCCCTTAAGGTGCTCAGGAGACTTTATTATATAGAGATTTAGAATGTCCTTTGCAAAAAGGTTCAGGTATCTTCAAGCTGGCTGGCTGCTTAACACACTTTCAAAGGGGTGGAAAGCCACTGTTTCTAGGTCAGCAAGGAAGCAGTCAATTCCAGAAAATGTAATCCTAAAATGATTTGAAAATCCCAGATTCTGGACTAAGGAGAGCCCAGAATTTTCTACATTGCTCATAGATCACCAGAAGCCGACTGCCCCATCCCCAAATAGAATCGGAGCTACAATTGCACAGTGGAATTTAGGATCCTTCTAGATGGAGGACTCTTCGAATGGCCAATCCAAAAACTTGGTGCAGTTTTCCTACATTTCTTCCTTGACAGCCCCCCCCCCCCGCCATTAACACAGTGGTAAGAAGGAAGGTGGAAGAAGTGGTGGAAAAACATGAGAGGTTTACAAATTGAAGGCAACTTTGCCTGGAACCTCCCCCCCCCCCATCACTTTAAAATGCCATGAATGATTCAAGATGATTGCAGAGAAAAAGCCATGCATAGAAACTCCTGCAGTGAAGAAATAATATTTAAGAACAGAGTGCCTCTGAGCAGATGGGGAGAGCAGATCGCTGGCTTCACCACGATCCACCCACCTACCAGAGCTTCTGGGCAGTGATGACACAGTCCTTAATTTGCCATTCCGCTCTGCAGAGCAGTTCAGCCTTCTGTCTCCCAAGCCATCAGCTTTAACCACCAGGCTTGTTTTAGGTATTTAGGGAATGTCCTTCTCACTTCACATGCTGCAGAGCTGAACCATGTCACTGAAGAAGCAAAGTTTGACAAATGCAGCTAAGGTCTCATATCCAGCTGGTGCCGTAACTTTGCACCTATGTGTAATCCTGTATAATTATGGATACACTCTGTTTCATTTTCTTGCTGTACTTTTAGCTGATTTGCTGTGTGCTTTCATTGCCATGTTGGGCGGAAAGACAGGCAGTATATTTAATTAACAAATACTTGATAATGTAATGATGTTTAATCATAAGTGCCAGGAAAATAACAGCTCTTTTTTTCTTTGTAGGATGTTTTCTTTTGCCATCCTCACTGTACTTGCTTGTGCCATCACCATCCATGCAGGTAAATAAATCCCAGGGTGGCCACCGTTCCCAGAGCGTGTGTGGCTGTGCTCTAGCATCGGGTCACGGTGCCGTGGCTCACTGACTTCTCTTTTCTCTGGATCTTCTATTCCAGCAGCTATTCAGCCCCGTGCATCTTCCTATTCGGGCGAGTACGGTGGAGGTGGAGGAAAACGCTTCTCTCATTCTGGAAACCAACTGGATGGACCCATAACTGCCCTCAGGATTCGGGTTAACCGGTGGTACATTGTGGGGTAAGCACAGTGGGAAGAAGGCTGTGGCTTGGGATCATGTATGCCGAGGTGCAGGTAGTCCATTTTAGACCGTGCAAGTAACGCTTTTATATGGCAATCTGTTTGTGTAGCTCAGGGCAAAAACAACCTTCTGTAGTTTTGCATTTTAAGCTCACTCAAATCAAAGCATCACCATGACTACAGGGAAGAAAAGGAGTTGGCTTCTGGTGGCCTCAGCCCATGTTCAAAAGGTTACGGGAACCAATCCAGCATGAGAGGAGCATGGAGGCAAGGCCTCCCGTTGCCTTCAAAGCCATTTAGATGGCCAGTGTCAGCCAACTGAATGTTTCCCCCTTCTTGCAAGTAGGAGGGGCTGAAGCGCCACCTGGATGTGACATATGACGCAAGGGACTGCCTTGCCCCTCTCCATCCTGCCCCAGAATCCCCGCCAGGCCTTCCATTTCTGGGGTCTCAGCTGGTATGGAAAAAACTGTGCCAGCGAGCGGGCGGAGGGGCTCCTTCCCTGAAATGTAGCAGTGGGGACTCTGCCCTTTTCTGTGGCCAGCCAGCCAGAGTCTACCAGGCATGGGTCTGTGCCCTTATATATGGCTGTCCATATATTAAACATCCGGATAAAAATATCTGTAAGCAGCTGGGAGGGAGCCCTGATCAATTGACTGTCTGAACTTAAGGTTAACCTTTTCACTGTTTGTAGGGAAATGTAGGATAGCCTCTGTCAAGTCAGTTTCAAGGGCACTGGAGGCTTCTCATGACTTTGTAAAATCAATAAATAGCTGTACATGCAAATGTAATTAATGAGAAAGGAAGGGAGACTCCCAAGAAAGGTTGGTTGGTCAGTCTAACCAATACTAGTTCCCAGGGCAGAATAATAGCTCATCTCAAAGTCCAACAAATCCAGGGCTTAGTTAAAAGTGCATCCCAACAGCATTTGCCCTTCATTAAATCATCCTGCTGGTCCAAATCCACTGATAATAACCCAGGCTGACCTGCCATCTACATTTGGTGCATGGTTGAGAAGAAGATGGCTTTGGAAAATGTCCCATTTCCCTCACTTTCAGTTAGATTGGATTGGGATGAATGGTGCGCACTTCTCTCCAGAGAGTACTTACTTTTTGCATCCAATATTTTACTTGAATGCAAGATCTTTCTTACATAATGGATTTCTGTTCTGCTTTCTGAGGACTCAAACTACAGTATTTCGAGGGCTAAACAAGTGTGACACCGCCCCGCCCCCCAAGCTCAGACAATAGAGGCCAATGTGATTGGTACCTGTGAGTGTGGTAATGCAGAAGTGTAACAAGCCCAAATTGGGTAGTGCCTCTGACACACAGAAGTGTGAGGAAAGCATTTCTTTCCTTGCCTCCTCCCTACGAACTGTCTTGTTCAGACATTTTCTGTGTTTGCGTTGTTCTCTGTTCCTTATTTTAAATTAGTGAGGTGGAGATTGCGCATTCTCTTGCACTGGCATCAGGTGAAATGGACAAGCACAGGGGTGGGCAACCTGCATCTCCAGTGCCACATACAACCCTAATTTCTAAAGCCCTGGACAAGCCACTCACTCCAGACTCCTGGGGAGAATAATCTGTCCCTTTCCCTGCATGCTGCCGGCTGAGGAGGAAGAGGGACAGAGAAAGAGAGGGCTGTCAGAAACGGAGGGAAAGGAGAGTGCCCCTCCCCATTTTGGCCTTGGTCTCTCCCACCACCAGTATGCAGCCCCATAAAGTTGAGAACCCTGCAATGGAATGCAACCCAGAGCAGAAAGAAGATTCACCAGCCCTGCTCTGCCCATGGGATGAGTTAATCTTGAGCCTTAGAATGTTTTCACCCATCAGGTTTAAAGCAATTCCGGCTTGCATCAGTCGTCATGCAGATGTGAGAGACCACATAGGCCAGAAGGCCATTTATGTTACAGATGTCATTTTCATTTCCATGTTCTACACCATGCAGACAAGGAGTATTTTTTCCTCCTGCTTATAATACAGGGTGCTGTTGCATTCATGTCCATGGTAGCTACCATGAAAAGAGGTAAGCCCTGGTCTGAGCCAGCATGGCTTTGATGTTCTCACGATATCCTTTGCGTATTCCAGCCTCCAGGTCCGTTATGGCAAGGAGTGGAGTAACTACGTAGGTGGCAACTCCGGTGACCTGGAGGAGATCTTCCTCCACCCTGGCGAGTCCTTCATCCAAGTCTCCGGGAAATACAAGACTTACGTCCGGAAACTGGTCTTTGTCACTGACAAAGGGCGTTATTTTCCTTTTGGCCAGGACACGGGTACCAGCTTCAATGCAGCTCCCCTCTACCCAAACACTGTCCTGCGTTACTTCAGTGGCAGGTCTGGTTCTGTCATTGATGCCATTGGCTTTCACTGGGACAACTACCCAAGCAATTGCCCCAACTGTAAGAAGTGAAGGGGAAAACGGCTAGAGAGAAGCAGGCCTCTCTGGGTGCGACCGCACGGAGCAAGGATGGGGTGTCTTTGGCTCATCTCTTTGGGAATTGCCTTCCCCTTGTTCGAGACTTCTTGCAGCCCCCTCAGTCTCCAATAACTCTCTTCCCAGGTGGTTTTCCCTTCACCAACTGAACAGATTAATCCATCCATTCGTCATCTTGCACATCCACTCACCCAGCCAGCCATCCATCAGTTCTCTCAAAATGTTTTCTGTTCTTCTTTTGGAGTTCAGCTAAGCCAACCAACCTCTGCCTCATCTCTGTCCCATTTCCTCAGACCTTCCTCCCCATCAAACAGTCACCTTGTATACCGTGCCAATTGATCATAATAAACAATAAATAATAACAAGCAAATGCCAAACAAGACATTAAGGATCTCTTTGTTCTGTCTTCACCTGCCAGCTATATTGGACCACAGTTCCCAGCATTCCTGACCATCGGCCTTCCTGCCTGGGGCTGATGGAAGTTGAACTCCAAAGCATCTAAACAGTGCCAGGTTGGAGTTGGCCGAGTTGGCACTGTCACTAGAATGCAAGCACAATTCTCCACTGGAGACCCAGAACTGGGCAGTATAAAAATGAAATAAAGAAAGAAATGTTAAGTGTTATGGAAGCATTTAAAACCAACTCTTAGGCAATGATTTCGGGACAACTGTGTCCTTGGAGCTGTGCAGGCCTGCACCTGAGGTGGTGGAGTAGACTTTACCACTCAGGGAGTGCCATTTTGGAATATTTCATTGCAAAATAACTCCTTGCATACCTAGCTTATTAGGGATAACAGTTCAAACCTAGATCAATTTTTAGTCATTTCAGCATTCTAATTACAGGGGCTGGGATGGTTTGCTTTTAGTTCAAAGGGACATTCAATAATGAGCTGTTCCTCCTGAATTCTGATGTGGTGGAGTCCATATGCTCAGGACTTGGTCACCTGCGGTACCTGCTTGTGAAGATGAAGGCCTCCAAGTTCCTGATGGTGGGTGAAAATGCCGGGTTGAAGGACTCAGCCTTCTGGAGAAAGCCAAGCTTCAATTGTAAACGATAAGAGAAAACTTAAATTGCCAACCTGTTCTTTCATGGAGGGCTTCATGGTCGCCCACCCAAAAGTATTATCTAGTCTCTGCCTGCTGAGCAGAAGTGCTTCCATTTGTTGGTTATCCATCATAATACCTAGAACAATATTGCCAATGAGGGACAAATATTCCTTTCAGGAGTAGGATACATGCCTTTCCTATGTGCATGGTATACAGACCAGAGGAATGCCATGAACCACATCAAACAAAACTAGAAATCATTTGGTGTTCCCAGTGGAATAAAGAACCAGTCGTGGAATGTGTATACTGCCCAATAGTCAATGCTCTCTTAAAAATGCTTAGTTTTATTCTGAGGAGCCAGTGGAGTATTCATCTTGGTTGCACACAAACTATTTCAGAAATCTTTGCAGGCACTTTTAAAAATGCTGACCCTTAAATCACACCTATGCACTTTATTCAAAAGACCAAAACGTGGAGGGCTGCTCCCTGGAATAAAACCAACATCCTGAGATTTCACAATTCAGCAAAATATTTTATTTAATCCTGTTAAAATTTTCTAAAGGGAAAACTATTGATTAGAAGCCAGCATTTTTCAGAACAAAACACATGTATTTATTTGCTTTGTGGCAGGCAGAGAGGCTGAGTCACTCGTGGCAACAGTGCAGCTTTTCGTTCTGACAGCACTTGGCTTTCAGGACATTAAACAATTCCCAGGCAAGCTGCGATCCTGCAAATGACGTCTCACCATCTTTGCTTCACAATGCCTCAAAACCCCACTCAAGGTCACCTTCTAAATTATGTTATGTAATTATTTAAGTGTCAGATGAAGATTGCTGAGATTCAGGACTGAATCTCCATCTAGCCCTTAAAATCATGGGCAAATGTGGGCAAGCTGCTATCTCTCATCCGCACCTACCTTGCAAGGCTGTTGTGAAGATAATGGGGAGGTAAAATGATAATTATTTTCAGTTCCTTCTAGGAAAGGTGGGCTATAACAGAATAACACACCAGGCATCCTCCCTTTCCTGACCTGACACCCACCTGATCAGCTGGTCAACAGCTCTCATCATCCTCAGCCATCATGCCCATTGGCTGTGCTAGTTCAGGCTAATGGAAAGTGTAATCCAGCATATCTGAATTATGCCTGGTCAGGGAAGGAAAACTGAACGTTCAAAGAAGGGAGGTAATTCTAGACCCACAGAACCAGTGCTTTTTTTGTAAAAAAAAAAAAAGTGCCGGAACTCACGTCTTGGGGGTCACACTTTTACACAATGGTCACCGCCGGCAGAAAGCACTCGGCGTGCGACCACACGACCGATCCCAAGCCGAGCAGCATCCCAAGCTGAGCAGTGCCCTCACAATCAGCGCCGACAATCAGCGCCGACACACAAGCAGCCCACAGGCACTATGTTAATGATTTTTGCTGCCAATCTGCTATGCCCAACAGGGTGATTCACAATCACTTGGAAAAATCCGTCAAAAAAAGGTGCCGGAACGCTGTTCCAGTGCGTTCTATGACAAAAAAAGCCCTGCACAGAACTAATAAGCACCACATGGGTTGAGGTGGTGGGGAGAGAAATCCGCAAGCTTCCGGCTCACACCAGTCCCCTGCTTACGCCTCTGGAGCATGCCCTTTTAAAGATACCCCTGAAAGCCTATTTTGTAAGGCCTATGAAAAGTTCTTTTGGAAAAACTTGCAGTACAAACCTGTCACCTCTGGAGGGTGATGTTTGGTTGCAAGAAATTCAGCGAGAAGCTTTCCTGCGCACATCTCACAGGCACTCACACACTTTCCCTCCATGCGCTCTTTCCTTCAGCAAAACCAGCACTCGGGTGCTGAGTGGCGAACAAGGGCTGAGGTGGCCTGGGCTGAAGCCCAACATGGGTGACTTCAGACAGATGCTTTTTCTGCCACTGATGTTGTTTTAAAATGTGCAGATCGCTAGAGCACCTCAGGGGGCATTAAAAAAGTGGCGGTTGCACCCACAGTCTTGGGTACAACCAGTGGGACACCCCATTGCGCCATCTTCCACTATACTTGTGACAACTGCGCTTCATGATCCGCTTTTCATTGAACAGTTACATCTTTTCATTTCTTTTTAAATTTTCTTTCCTTTTTGGCTACCTTGAAGGGTAAATTTCTCCTCTACCTTATAGTCACTCCTCCCCTTCCAGAAAAAAACATGCTGCACCTCATTTGTATGATTTCATCATTAATAATTATGAAACACACAGTTCAAAGTGCTTCAGACACATTATTTCAGTAATCCTAACAACAGTCCTGTAAGGTAGGCCAGTAGAACCATCTGTGCTTTTAGCTATGATGACTAACACATTCTGATTAATTTTATTCTGTGTTTCGTCCAACTCCTAGCATGCAACTGACCCCAAAAAGATATTTTAAGTGCTGGATTTGCCCCAGTCATAGTGTCCACCTAACACCCAATTTGTCATCTTTTCAGCACCAGGTTAAGATGGTCTTTTATGCAGAGGCCTTTAGAGAAATACTTCGATACCAAAGGCCTTGAGGGGATCACCCATCCCAGATATTTTGCAGACTCATTCTTTGTTATTGCCTCTTTCAAACCTTTTAATGCTGTTCTGTTTCTATGATATTTTAATTGCACTTTCTTGTCTGTTTTATGGATAGTTGTTAAGTGTTCAGAAAGCTTTGGCTGTGGGACAGTTTCAAAATTAAAGTAGTAGAAGTAGTAATAAAAAATAGACACACACACAGCTGAGATGTGCTGTCAAGCCCCCCAGAATGTCTTATCCCTGACTGCACCATTCGGCTCTTCCCAATTCAAGGCTATGGCATCCTTTATGGAATCAGTCCATCTCTTGTTTGGTCTCCCTTTTCTTCTGCCTCCAACTTTCCCTAGCACATCTGTCTTTTCCAGGGAGACCTGCCTTCTCATGATGTGTCCAAAATGTGACAGCCTCAGTTGCCAGTTTTGTTTCTAGGGAAAGTTCTGGCTTGATTTGATCGAGGACCCACCTGTTCATCTTTCAGAGTATTTGCCCGACTCTCCTCCAGAATCATGTTTCAAACACTTTGATTTTCTTCCTGTCAACTTTCTTCCCTTTCACACCCAGTTTGGAAGGAAGAAATGTGCTCCGTTTCTCAGATGGATGGGAGAGGTCCCATCTCATCCCAGGCTTGCATGGCGGCCAGAGCAGTGGTAAGTTGGTCTGTGGCTGCCTTCTGCAACCACCAAGGGAGTGGAGGGGCTCTGATTTAACTGCGCTGCATGTAAGATGAGGCATAAGCTATCTTAGGAACAAGGAAGACCTCACATACCCAAAGAGGAGGAAATGGAAGGGGAGTCCTCGCTTATCAGAGCCCAGATGGGCAGCCTGGAGGTCACTTCAGGGTCAAGTGTGCAGGCACGCATTTGATTAGCTTTTGGATATCAGCAATGTTCCTAAATAGCAAGCGAGCTAAACCCGCAGTTAATGAAAGTTTTGCTGCTGTGAGGCCAGTGGTCACAGCCTCTTTCCCGTTCCCTGAGGCTGCGTTCAGTCAAGCCAACCTGCAACACTGCAGGTTTCAGACCTCTCCTTCCCAAGGCAGAGTGCCAGCACAAAGACCTGATCTTGCAGAGGGAGCTCTGACCCCGGGACCTCCTTCCAGCCACTGCGGATCCCTTCATGGCCCTTGCCCCTCAGTGTAAGGGGAAAGTCACCCTTCCGATCATTTTTAAATCGTTTCCATATTTTTTCTGCATGACAGGGTTTGGGTAAAATTATAGAAATTAATAAAGCCAGTCTGCAAGTCCATGGAATCTGTGCGACTTTTTCTGTGTGTGTCTGTGCGATGCAAGTTCACAATGGCAATATTCCAACCCTGTGCCATTTCTCTGCTGCAAGCTCCTTTAACGGGGGCGGGGGGATGCGGGTGGTATTGTTTGTTACCAGAATCAATCCATCCACCGAAAAGGATGCTCACCTGTCTGTCCTGCAGTCTCCCCACCCCCCCCAGTGATCTCCATTGACGTCAATCTGATTCACTTACATGCCCATTGATCATAATTCTGAATAAATGTACAGTTCAATTAGTTCCTGCCAGCACAAGAGGACAAAGGAAGCAATCAGGAAGGCTTGAAAAGACACTGTGAAGTTTCCAGAGAGCAGGAGAGGGGCCTTTTAAGTTGCAGGGTAGGGAAAGGACCTGAAGGATCTCCCAGCTGCTGAAGCCCCTTGACTGTCCTTCTTCACGCATCTCTTTCCCTGCTGTTTTCCCTGCAAATGAGCAGCAGAGCAATGGAATCAGCCACGCGGAATGAAAGCAGGAGGCCGTGCTGAGTTCAAAGTGATGGTCAACATATCAT